TCTGAGTTCCTCGTATTTATACCCAAGGCCACGGGGAGCCCAAGGGTGCATGGTGGAGGCTGCGGGGTGCATATCCTGACCCCCCCAGAGCTGTGTACATAGGGCAGCTGGGCTGCCTGTGCCTCTTAGTAAATGGCTTTTATTTTTGTACGGATGGCCACGTGGCCTGTTGTATGTATTGTGTCTCCTTGGGTTCCCCCCTGCACTTGTGCACCCCTTCATGCCCAACACCTGTGGCCCTGCACTTCTGCCAGGTGCCCCTCTCACCCTCCTGCCAGCCCCTCCCCTTGGCTCTGCCACCTGCCTGGGGATGTGGGGTGCAGGATTTGGGACCTGGCCTCCGGGGCAGGCATGGGGCAGACACTGCACCTCGTCTGAACAATAAAAGGATTCTGTCCCAGAGATGGATGCCTTTCTTCATGGGCCTGGGGGCTGGGATTTGGCTCTGCCCAAGGGTGGGGAAGGATGGGAGGCAGTGCCATCTGGGTGGGCACACTCAGAGATTAGATGGAGGAGCTGGGAGAGGGCCTGGGAGGACAAGGCTGGGACTGTGCAGGGCCAGAAGCAGGACCCTAGATGAGATGCTCCTGGGAGATGGTGGGAGGGCATCAAATAGACACTAAGATGAGGATTGCTGGGGCTTGGGAAACCAGGGCTGCTGTGGGAGCTGAGCACCATTCTTTGAGAAGCCAGAAGCTGTGCTAAGTGCCAGGATGAGCCCCTGGTGACACTTGGTGACCTGCTGCATCTTTTCATCTGGGGAGGGGTAGGACCGCTGTGTGACCTTCCCAGGGGACAATCCCCAGAGTTTGGGTGCTTTACCCTGTGACAACCACTAGTGAAGCCCTGCCCAGGAGGCTGGTGGCTTTTGCCTGATGATGGCCACAGGCTGTGACATGACCCTGCAGCTCAGAGAGGGGATCGGCTGGCATCAGTGGTGCAAGGGCGAGCAGGGAGCAGGGCTGCAGTGCAGGGTGTGGGATGCTGTGGTGCTGGGGGAGGGCGCTGCACTCTGTGCTCTTTGTAGCATCCTCCCGGTGGTACCCAAGCCCAGCACTGCAGGGGATGAGGATGCCGTGGGCACGCAGGGTGTGACCAGACACTCTGGCCCTCAGCCTGCCACTGGCTCAGGGCTCTGCCTCCTCTCTTTAAAGCTTCTGGTGTTCCCTGGCACTGCCTTGTGTGTTCGGGCCTGTGGCTGTGCCCAGATCCTCCTGCCAGACAGGTTTCAGGACCTGGCTCTGCGAAGTAGTCCCAGCACCCTGGCACCACAGCGAGGAGCAGATGCTGCCATGTGTGTCTTGAGCCCCCCAGTGCCACCCCCAGTGATACTTTGGCTAGGGGAGCAGGTGCCCGGGGAGGCTGGACTGGTGGCTGAGGGCATGTAGGGGACCTGTGCACTTTGGTGGTCATAACAGGACGGAGTTATGCCCGGGTGGGCAATGCCAAGCAGCATGAGGGGGTCTCTGTGCATTGCAGGGGCATGATGCTGGGGATCGGGCAGATGGGTAACCCTCCTGTCCTCTCTCTCCCCGTGCAGAGCACTCAGCGGCTGCGAAG